CATTATTTACCATAGCTAAGTTATGGAACCAACCCAGATGCCTCTCAGTAGATGAATGGATCAAGAAAATGTGGTATATATACACAATGGAATTCTATGCCTCCATCATAAAGAATGACATTGCCCCATTTGTTAGGAAATGGAAAGACTTGGAAAAAAATATATTAAGTGAAGTAAGCCAGGCCCAAAGAAACATAGGACCCATGGTTTCCCTTATTTGCAATAACTAGTATATCTCTGAGACAAGTAGAAAAGGTCAGATAAGTTGATGTTAGATGAAATGAACCCCAAGGTAAGTATTCAAATGTTTTTCTTTCATGCAATTGTTTCTAACATATTTATAAGAAGATTTCTTTGTTGCTTTGTATGTCCCTCCCCCACAATATAACCCCTGCTTTCACTGTATTTGATGTTGTTATAATTTGTGGAGGGGAAGGGAAAAATCAAATCATTTAAATGGGATACAGGTGGACCCATTGCAACAATGAGATGTACAAATTGTTATGTTGAAAAACGAACTTTACAACTTTGGCAGGCGGGTGGGGGGGGGGGGGGAGATGGGAAGGGATGGGAAGGAGAAACAAAGGAGGAGGCAACAATGCTTGATAAGAAATGTACTCATTATCTTGCCCATGTAATTGTAACCCCTCTGTATGGTATTTTCACAATAAAAAAGAAAATAAATTCATTTACCTGAGCCTCCCTCAAAATGCTTAGGGACAGTGCCCAGGCCCTGAGTACAAGCCCCAGGATATCTCTCTCTCTCTCTCTCTCTCTCCCTCCTCTCTCTCTCTCTTTCTCTCTCTCTCTCTCTCTCTCTCTCTCTCTCTCTCTCTCTCTCTCTCTCTCTCTCCTCCCTCTCGCCTCCCTCTCTCTTTCTTGCACACCATATATACACACACACACATACACAAAACTACTGCTTTCAAAAGTGTTAATCAATTACCATGCTATAGAAGAAAATGTTCAAAACAAACTGGACCAGAAATGATCATCTTATATGCCTATAACTTTGCAATAAGGCACACACTTTAATTTGATCCTAGATCTCAGTCACATCCACCCTAATTTCTGATAATAGAAGACATTAGCAAGTTTATGGTATTAAACACTTAAGCCAACAAATTTTCCTGAGACTTAAAACATATTATTACTGATGACCCAGATCTAAATCAAATCCATTGAAATATCTCTACTGGTTACCAGATCTACTATAAATTTGGATCATGTGATCCCTGAGAATCATTTCCTTCTGAATTAGTGAGTTCTGTACCTATGATTTTCCTATTTGAACCTAAATATCCATATCCTGAAGGCTCATCATGAGGAAACCTTTTGTAACAACTTGAATGGGAAAAGAAGAGTCATACTAAGGCAGCATAGAGCTAGATCTCTGAAGGTTGATGTGTCCTTACCACACACCTGCATGATCCAGTAATTCTACTCCAGAGTATGACTAGATGAAGTGATAACCGCATTCTGAAAAGATCTGTACTCATATTCACTTAAACATTGTTCATACAAGCCAAGATATTGAGGCAACCTAAATCTTTGAAAATACTAGGTAGATAGATAGATAGATAGATAGATAGATAGATAGATAGATAGATAGGATGGAATGTTTGTCAGTCTTAAGAAAGAAGGAAATGTACCACAGCCTCATGTAGCAATGAAATATGCCACCCATATGACTTATTAACTAAAGAAAAAAGAAGGAATTACTACCATTTAGCTGTGGATAAACTCATAGGATATTATGCTAAGTGCAATAGGACATAGGCATAGGACAATGATCTCAATGATATATGGAATCTAAAAATGTCAAATTCATAGACAGAGTAATTCACTCTCTTTGGATCATTAGAGCCCTTCCAATTTCTATGGCCACCATCAAAAGCTCTAGATGTTTACTTCCTCTGTACTAGCTACCTTCTCCTATACCCTACCCTCACCCTTGAAGGTCTGAGCCAACCTCCCTTCCTGGTCTGGTCTGTGCATCCTCGGGAAAGTCTGTGCAACTCTTCACAGTGGGCAGTCCCTGGGGCTACAGCAGGCCCTGAGAATGTGAGCAACTCCAGGGGCAGATTCTCTTGCCAAGACCTTTTGACCCTAGCCTCGGGCTCTGTTCTCAGTAAAAGAGACAAGGACTCAAGCACAAGAGGATTCGACTCTGGTGTCTTCATGGCTCCTGTGACAGGCAATGACTAGATGCTCCTCACCTTCCTCCCTCTCTGGGACACAGAGAAGCCGCTTCCAACTTTGAGAAGGAGTGATAGTTACATTCTTACCATCACCTGCCATATTATCTCAGTGAAGACTGCTACTCGGTACCTTTCTTGGAAATCAGTCCTTGAACCTTCCCAACCTCCTCCTGCAGTATTCATTTATTAGCTCTAGGCCTCCAGGTTTGAACAAATAAACATAGACACCATCAAGTTGTTTTTATTTCTCACATGTGCTCCCACTGGGTTGCATGGGGAATTACTTTACCTGCATATGGATGTGCTATCTCTATCTGTGTTTGTGCTGTGGGCAGCGCATGTATTAGCTGTGCATTGCATGGAACACATTCCTTGTGGATTTGTCTTGGGAGAGGAACTTGAGTTAGAAAACTTACTTGAAAGTTTGCAGTGTTGGAGCTGATCACCACAAGCATGGCTTATTGCTCTGATTCTAAATGAGTAAGTAACTTGGTACAAATTTACCTATGCGACTCCCCTTCTCACCTATAAAATGGGGATTTTAATAATTCACTTTATAAATTTGTTAGGAGTTATAAATAAAATAATGGAAGTAATCAAACTTTTCCTTAAATGTTTTGTGTGTACTAGAATCCACCACTGGCCTCCATCATCATCATTGTCCTTATATCCTCAAGCCCTGTTCTCATAGGCAATGGATTTTTTTTGGTAAAGTGGAAGGCCAGAATTTCTGTAACACTTTAGACCTGATAACTGTCTTTCTCACATGACTTAGGCCATCATCATAAAAGCTCAAACATTTAGACATATGTGATGAGGACACATTATGCTCCTGAAATTTGCTTGATGCTGCCTTGCTGTGTCTCTTTTTCCTGCTCAGGTTGTTATGAAAGACTTCTGTGTAAGGGAGTGATCAGGATATGGGGCTCTAGGTTCACATAGTTCAGACTGACACAAAAGCAGAGCTCACTGATTCTTTTTTTGGGGGGGGGGAGGGACCAGTCGTGGGGCCTGAACTGTGAGCCTGGGTGCTGTCCCTCAGCTCTTCAGCTCAAGGCTAGCGCTCTACCACTTGAGCCACAGCGCCACTTCTGACTTTTTTCTTTTTGCTTATATGGTGCTGAGGAATCGAACCCAGGGCCTAAGCACGCAAGGCAAGTGCTCTACCACTGAGCCACCTTCCCAGCCCACTCACTGATTCTTAAGGCAATTGGCCCTAGTGGTTACTCAGTCCAGACTGCCAGTGGCTGTGGGGCTGGACAGGTGGATTTGTCACTTTGATTTACATCTAAGTTCAATGTTGTTGGAGGCATGTTTGGAGCCTTATAGAGATGTATCATCTGATCGCATATGATGTCAATGCTATAAATTAAATGCAATAAGAAAATTTTATGAAGCAAAGCATGGTGTTCTGGGGTTTTTGTTAACACAAATTGAGAGTGGACATTGTGGAGATCTCAACTGGAAGTATGAGCAAGTCAAGGTAATAGCTATTTCCTATTCCAATTGTTTTGGTCTATTTCTATCTATAATCTACTTACTAATTAATTCATCTTTTTGAAAGTATGCATTGTCTTTAGAAGAATCATCTTGAATTTTATACTAAGGGATATTTTGCTTTATTTTTCAATACCAAGGATATTACTAAACTATATATATATATATATATATATATATATATATATATATATATTTAACCACCATGCCTTTACTTTGGTAGTGTACTTTATTAAGTAATATCATTCCAGTAGTAAAGTAAACATACCCAACTATATTTATACTTTGCAGCTACCAAAATTATGATATAAAAGGAAATGAATTGCTGGGCACTGGTGGATCATGCCTGTCATCCTAGCTACTCAGGAGGCTGAGATCTGAGGACTATGGTTTGAAGCCAGCCAGGGCAGAAAGTCTGTGAGACTCTTGTCTCCAATTAACCACCAGAAAACTGGAAGTGGCACTGTGGCTCAAAGTGGTAGAGCACTAGCCTTTAGGGATGAAACTCATGGATAGCACCCAGGCCATGAGTTCAAGCCCCATAACTGACAATAAACAAAGGGGAAATGAATTTGGCCTGTCCATTTCTGAATAAAACTATTTGTATGAAGAAGACCAACATGTCAACACAAACTTGAAGGGGAAATAACCAGGGTCTTGTGTTTATTTATCCATCCATTTCAAATGTTTAATCACAGGCCCTTTGACTGAATATCTAATAAAGAACTAGGTATCTCCATTTTGTGGGTGCTTGGCTTGTCCTATATTTTCTAGCTGTGAGGACAGCAGGCAGATACTAAGATTACACCTCATATTGGCTATAAAAAAGATACCATCCCACTTCCTGTACACAGAGTAGAGTATTAGGTATAAAATCAGAAAAATACATATGTACTGAGAATAAAAACACCCCCTGGTCTCCTGCAGCTGGACCTCCTCTCTCTGCAGGCATGAAAACTCAACTAAGGCTTGCTGTCAGGGCATCCAGAGGCAAGCTTCTGAGCCTGGCTTCTGTCTAGGGTAAGATTCAGCTGTAGCTGCTCACACTCCCCTGTGGAGATGATGGTGACAAAAACAAGCAAGACTGATGAGGCTCAGTAGGGAAGACTTTATTATTTTGTAACACTGAAGAGGAGGCATCTGAGGGGGACATTCAGAACCTTCACAAAAAGATTTTAACATCCCAGAGCCCAGGACAGGGAGGACATAGGGAGGAGAAGAGAGGGAGAGCAGCAGGCTGGAGCAGGTCTTCTGCACTTCAGTTCCTCCGCCATTGCTCGTCTGAGGCCCTCATGGCCCAGGTCAGCAGCAGCCTCCAGACTGCTGGCTACTGCCACCGCTACTGCCACAGCAGCTGCTGCCACCACCGCTGCTACAGCAGCCACTGCTGCCACCGCTGCTGCCACAGCAGCTACTGCCACCACCGCTGCTACAGCAGCCACTGCTGCCACCACCACTGCCACAGCAGCTGCTGCCACCGCTGCTTCCACAGCAGCCAGAGCTCTGGTGTCTGCGTCGGAGAGATCGGCGGGGCCTGTGGTGGCTCAGACAGCAGCTGCCACCCCCAGAGCTGCAGCAGCCACCACCCCCAGAGCTGGAGCCACAGCAGCCCCCAGAGCCAAGGCTACAGCAGGAAGAGGTTGGAGGGCACTTAGGAGGACACTTTGGGGGACATTTGGGAGTGGGGCATTTGGGAGGGCACTTGGGGGTGCACTTGGGAGGGGGCTGGCACTGCTGCTGGCTCTGCTGGCAGGACATCTTGGCAGGCAGGGGTTCAGGAGCTGAGGAGTGTCAAAGACAAGTCAGACCCAGGACCCAGAGACAATCCTATCTTGTCCTTGCTTGTCACTTCAGCTTTGTTTCTAGCCATTCAGTTTAGCCAACCATTGAAGTGTAAGCCTGTATAAATGATCACTTACTATCCTTATTTCTAAATATTGGCCAAGTTCACACACGTTCTTACTTATGTGATCATTAGTTTTAACTTTTTTAAAAAATAGATTAAAGCATTAAAGTAAAAATATGTCAAATAAAAGTTCTCAAAATCAGTCATATATCATGTAATGGAAGGCATTCTACTCCTTTTATACAAATGAATCACAAAAGCAATCTGGAAAGCTATTTAACAATCCAATCATTTCTTTAGGGAAAATAATATTTTCCTCTTGAAAGGATTTCCTAGATACTTTTGTCCTGTAGGGACACAGAATGCAGAACTGCAAAGGGTGTTAGTGAACCCAAATGGGGAAAGAATTTTCATTTCAGTTGGGATTCACATCTTGGTCCCTAACTAAGTCAGGTGTTCTGACAGTCTCAGCAGACAGCAGGCTTAAAACACCATCTCAACGTGAGACTTTGACTGCTCTTTAGACCCATTCCTCAGCATAAGTAAATAAGTCAGCTATGGTTCCTCCACACCAGTTGAGAACCACTATTCTCATAGGAACTTGTCAGTAAAGCACAGTTGTTTCACAAAGGCAAACACCCTATTCTGAGAGCAATGACATACAAATCATTGACAGTAACAATCTTACAATGCTTCCAGACCAGCAAGTCAACCCAGAACATTTTTCCCCCCTCTGGAGCACTAAGTGACAATTACAGATTCCCTTCTCATGTTCCCATTTGTCTTTCGTGTCTCCATTCCTCGGTCTTCCTGAGACTGTTTCCTTTGCTTATAGGGAGGCCAGCCCACCACCAATTTTGTGGCTGTGTCCAGCTTCTCTTCCCACTCCAGCCTGAGCATCCTCAGAGGAAGCCCTCAATTCTATTCCCAATGAACTTACCAAGGTCACAGGAAGCTCAAGGTCCGTGGGCACCTCGGAAGATAAGTGGATGGAGATGCTCTGGCCCTGGCCTTTTTATCCTGGCCTAGGGCTCTGACCCAGCCTATGAGACAGAGCCTGGGCATGGAGGCCTGGCCACCTGACGCCCACAGAGGCTGGTGACTGGTGATGACTGGATGCTTATCATCTGCCTCCCTTGACAGAGCTCGAAGAAGCTGCTCTGGGCTTGGAATTAGGTGGTGCAGGATAATACTGCCATGATTTCCAACATTGTTCTTCCTGGAAGGTGCTAGGCCTTGAGGGTCTCACCTCCCATTCTTGGAGTGTCAGACCTCATCAATTCCTTTTTTTAAAAAATAAAAGAGCTTCAATAAATTCAAATTGCATTTCTACAATGTCTGTGGAGTCCAATCAACATAAACGGAGAGAACAAAGGACCATTGCTTTTATACACAAGAAAAATATATACAGAAATCTACGTAAATAATAAATACCCCATAGTCTAAAAAGTAGAACTCTTTCTTTCCTTTGGACTCTCCTTTATGCCCCAAAGCAACATCATGAAGTGTGTTTTGAAATATTGTTTTAATTATCTCTTCCAATGTATAACCTGTTTCTGTTTTCTTATCCCAAAGTATTCTGAAATTTCATGTTTCCCAAGTCATTTCCCTTGGGCTTCCATTTTTCCAACATCAACAATTATCCCATTTTCGTAAGTAATATAAAAAATGATTAATTGTCTTTTCAAATGAATGATACATTCATTTCTTGTCTTCCAATGCTAATTCAATGTCTCTATATACAACCTGATTAAAGTCACATCTTTACATATTCCTTCAGATTTTCTTCCAAACAGGTCACTTTGATACAAAATAAATGACAGTTTTCATGGTTTCAACTTTTAATAAATGGCATCGTGGGCTTGGAATGTGGCTTAGTGGTAGAGTGCTTGCCTGGCATGCATGATGCCCTGGGTTTGATTCCTCAGTACCACATAAACAGAAAAGGCTGAAAGTGGTGCTGTGGCTCAAGTGGTAGAGTGCTAGCCTTGAGCAAAAGAAGCTCAGGAACAGTGCCCAGGCCCCAAATTCAAGCCCCAGGACCGGCAAAAAAATGGCATCATGTTTGTGGGATTTATAGTAATTGCTGTCTATATAAAGCATTATTTATACAAGTTATTCAAGCCACTCTGCATAGATACAACTTTTATAGTCATGTTCATCTTAAGATGATGGCATGATTTTGTTATTCTGTTGGACAGACATTTAGAGTGTTTCTACTTTTCACTGTAAAGATATTGCAATCATGGACATTTTGTGTTGACTTGCATATGTGTAGGAGAGTCCCTCCAAGGGGCAGTTTTTAAATTTTGGATCAGGCTAATCTCTCTCAATTGAATGTACATATTTTAATTTCCACTATCAGCATACAAGATTCACTGCTGTTGCCCATCATTGCTAAACTTAAATCACTGTCACAATATATATATATATATATATATATGTATATGTATAGTTATATTTTTAGTATGTATTTCTCTCCATTGCAATGAGCACAAACATCTAGTTATGTCTTTGTTGGCTGTAGGATTCTTCCATCTTCTATGACTTGTTTGTTCTTTTCTTAAGGTTGATTTTTCTGTTTGTCCTTTTTGCTAACATATTGCTGTTTTTCTGTTTGTCCTTTTTGCTAATGTATTGCTGTTTTGTGAATACTGACAATATGCTGTGAATGTCTTTTTTAATGCAATTCGTTGTTTCTAAGAGTGGCATCTAGTGAATGAGTGTTTTATTTTTTAAGAGATAAATTTCTGTAACAAGAGCTATGCTGTTTATAGTTTTTAAATGTTAAGAAATCTTAAATGTTCATATGCTCAAAATCTGTTGACAAGGTTTTCATGAAAAAGTTGAAAAAATTATCTATTTAAAGTCGTTATTCAGTCCAGAAAGGAATTATTGGGCATTTTATGTTTAATATTTCTTCTAAAGGATACTCAATCATCTCAGCATCATAATTAAATATTCTACTTTTTTCCAATAATCTGTAACACTCTCTATGATAACCTAGTAACCACATATCTGCAGACTTATAAGTTGAATAGAAAAATTTTTATTACCATGTCAACCCACATGAGAATATCTTGCTGCTCTAATTACTATAGATATAAGTTCTAATCACACAGGCATCACCATCCACTAAGATTGTCTTGGTGTAAGCTCAGGGAGCAAAGGGCACATGTTTTCTCTCATATGCAGATGCTAGATCTAAAATACACCAGGACATGATAAATTTGACAGGACTCTAGGCATTCACAGTAAGACTAAAGGAGGATACTTTTAGAGGAAGAACACAAAGACACAATGCCTACGCGCATCTGATCACATAAAATAATATTTATCAAAATGAACTCCAGGAAATGGAAATGAGATTTTTTTTTTCTTCATTGTTTTAGTTTTTATTTTTTGGCATTTTTTAAGTTTGAGTCCAGTTTTTAAATTTTTATTTTATTGTGAAGATGCTGTACAGAGGCTCTACAGTTGCATGAGTAAGGTAGTGAGTACATTTCTTGTTGCTCATTGTTACCCCCTCCTTTGTTTGTCTCCTACTATCTTGTTTGTTTGTTTATATGTCTTTGGGAGGTGGAGGGGGCACAGAAATGGTAGGACAGAGGGTGAACAAATGCAACAGTGGTGCTCACTAGACCCTGTTGAAAACGAACTATACAACTTGTGGATGGGGACAGGAGAGAAAAATGGGAGAGAGAGAGAGAGAGAAAGAGAGAGAGAGAGAGAGGGAGGTTACACTTTATCTGACTTACAAAACTGTAACCCTTCTATATATAATCTTTATAATAACAATAGAAAGAAATTAGTTGATTAAAGTTTTGATAATTAAATAATTAATTACAACTGAATTAAATAAGATAAGAAGAATGTCTTGGTGTTTACTAGGCATTTTCTCTTTCATACAAATTTTAGAGTCAATTTTTAGTGTCATACAAAAGGAAGACAAAGCAAGACAAGGCATTTAACTACTAATGAAATCACATATTTTAATTTGTAAAGGATTGTTAAATTTTACCACTAGTTGATTTTTCATTCATCCACATACACAATGTATCTATTTAGCCTTCCATAATGTCTTTAAATAAATTTTAAATATTTTACACCAAAAATTTGACATTGTACATTTTTGTTATTTTAAGCATCATTTGTTTCTGTTTTTGTGTGGTAATGGGACCTTGCACTTGCTAGGCAGGAACTCTATTACTTAAACCACACCAACCCCTTATTGCCTAAATCAATATCGTATTAATTGATGGTTTGAGGGCTGCTGCTCTTTGTGGCAACAGAGGCATGGACAGAATGGCCTCTAATCCTCATCACCCTTGGAATGTATGGGCTAGGCTTCTGGATCAGAACTACCAGTGTGTGTTGAGTAACCAATATCTTGACCACCCTTCCATGAAACACACCCTTTGCAATAGGATGAGCCATACTCACATAATCCAGTGGCGGATTACTGCAGGATGAGAGGGATAGTATATTACAATGTATCTCATAGAATTCCGACGATGGCTTACCTCACATATAAAGTAAACTCAATGCCAATATCAATAAAATGTTTTTACAACCGATTACCCATTGAATGCATATCCTTCTTTAGGAGCTGATAACAGATGTATGAACATAAGAACCAACTTCAGCATCCTGGAGAATTTATTGTAATCAGATTGGAAAAAGTATGAATAGAAGTTATATTGGAATGACTGACACCATTTCAGGAGTGCACAGATCACAGAGTCAAGCAAGGGAGTTGGAGAAGGAAGGACAAATTAAAAGTAACTGACCATGTCAGCCTACGAACATTCCCAAAGGAAGAGCACAGTGCTTCAACTGGAGATGGAATAAAGTGTTACACTTCACAAATCCCAAATACTAGCCAATAGGGATTAGTGTTCATTGTGAATCC